CCAGATCTGGGTCGGCATACTCCCAAAGAAAACAATCCAAGTAACTATCATGTAGTAATAAAACCAGTTTTATTTTAAAAAGGTATCTACTCACATGTGTGAGAAGTAATAATGCATATCACTAATACAGCATTTAACATCCCGGTGGGCACGATAATGTCACTTCTGACTGGCAGGCATAATGACTTTATAACTCCGCCCCACGCGTTTTTTCCAAATTGATGTCATTACCTCTGTTGCCCAAGGTGCATGAAATGCGTAGAAAGGAGTTATAGCTCCTGGGGCAGATAGGCTAAGGAGTCCTTTATGAAGATGTCAAGGTCCCAGCTAAGCTTAACTGGGGATCTACCAAGGAGAGAGAGTGAGACTCGGAGTTGGAGTTTGGGAGGAGCCAGGAGAATAGGAGCAAGGAAGCACCACTATTTGCGACTTTGTTAGTATTTGATCCTGTTACACTATGGAGAAGTGGCTGTGGGGTCTTTCACCTAGCAACTTAGTGCAGTGCTACCAGTAGTCATTCAAGATAGCAGGGAGAATGTTATACTGCTGAGCGTTCTTAGATCAGCCAGGAGCTACACAACACAGTTAGGAATTGTACACATTCTACTGATAGACACAAGTGAGTGCAATTCAAGGCTGTACAATACAGCCAGACTTTGTACAGAGCAGACATAAATCTAGCAGTCCTCAAGTGCCAGAGTTCTACAGTTGAAAGTGTTCCATTCTGAAGGTTGTAATTAAAAAACACAAAAACAAAAAACAAACATGTCATACTTACTTGTTCTGTGCAAGGGTTTTGCACAGAGCAGGCCCGATCCTCTTCTTTTTGTGTCCCTCATTGGCCGGTTCTGACTCCTCCCCACTGCAGAGTGCCTCCAATAGCAAGCCTCTTGCTATGGGGGCATTCAAGCAGGCTCACGCCCAAGCCATGCTCCTGTGAATGGACACTGTCCATTCACACATAGACCATGGCTAGTCCCTGTCCCCCCCCCCCCCCCCCTCTCTCTCTCTCTCTCTTCATTGGCTCACTGGCTGGGATTGACAGCACAGGAGCCAATGGTTACCGCTGCTATGTGAGTCAATGAGCAAAGAGAGAAGCAGGAGAGCTGCAGCTCTCATACACATCGCTGGATCGAGATGGGGCTCAGGTAAGTATAAGGGGGGCTGAGGGGGGCAGCTGTACCCAGAAGGTTTTTTTTACCTTAATGCATGGAATGCATTAAGATAAAAATTCTTCTGCCTTTAGAACCACTTCCTGCAATAAACCTTAAAGGAAACTCTTATGTTTCTAGTGCCAGAGTGTGAAGTTGCTGTTTGCCTGGCCACAGCACTAGTGGGAATAGAACCTGGGACCCGGGTAGTGTCACAAACATAAACAATATTGAACAATATTCACAACTGCACATTGCTTGATTGCAGGATCATGGGGCCCCTGTGTCCTTGCCCAAACTCAAAAAAGCCTATGAAAAAGGTACCAGGGGCATCTCATGGGGCCCCCTACTGACCCCGGGGCCCTCGGGCAGTGCCCAAGTTTCCAAATGGTCAGTCCGCCCCTGGTTACAATTATATCAAACAACAGTTTCAAACGTTGTGTGGCTGGAGTGCAGCCCTAATGTGTGTGTGTCTATATATATATATATATATATATATATAAATGTAATGATGTGTTATACATAAATAGCTGTTTGGCAGTAAGGTGAAATTGTTGTCCATTGTGTGTTTCCATGGCAAATCATTTGCTTGCTGATCACACCATGTTTCCATTTTCGTAGATGGTATCAGTAAATTAGAATGTCGCAGGATTGCATATGTTGTATACGGCCCAGTTAACTAATGACACAGGTCAGCTTTATTTCAGCTTTACTTCAGCTTGCCTTGTCACCTCGCACACTGCATAATGTGACAATGAAGGCTGTAGGGGACCTTCTGTTAGATGTTTTGCAATGTAACAGATGTTCAGTTCCTAGCCCTATAAACACCTGAGCAGAAGACAAAGAGATACACCCTTTACAGGCTTTAAAATAAGCAGCTTCTCCAATGAATATGAATGCCAATGAATATGAATCAGACAAAGACCATTTATTGCTTAAAACTCAATTCCCTGTTTTTGGTCAAATGTTTTTGTTAAAATTACATTTTAGGACAGGAGTGGAAACAAATTAAACAAGATAACTACTGAATACTCGAGCGGAGCATGTTTTTTTTTTTTCCTTTTTCGGGTAGCAGCGGGCATCGTGATTGACGTTAGATCTACTTTGGGGGACTTTTTTTTTACTTCTTTTTTTAATAAAAGACTTGTCAAAGACTGTCTCCTGTTTTTTTTTTACATCACTATTTTTTGTGAATGGATAGCGGTACAATTTATCCACATGGGGGGGCCAGGATCTATGGGCCCTCTAGTTAAAGGCGGCTTCCAGATTCTGATAAGCCCTCTGCCCACAGACCCCCACAGCCACCGGCCACGATTATGGGGAAGAGTTCCTTGTCCCAATCAACATGAGGACACGGTGCTTTGGAGGGAGCCCCCTTGTCCCAAAGCACCCCCCCATGTTGAGGGTATGTGGCCTGGTATGGTTCAGGAGGGGGGTGCTCGCTTGTCCTCCCCCTTTCCTGCCCTGCTTGGCTGCGTGCTCGGATAAGGGTCTGGTATGGATTTTTGGGGGCCCCATGCCATTTTTTTTTTTTCTTTTTAATTTTGGTGTGGAGGTTCTCCTCAAAATCCATACCAGACCCGAAGGGCTTGATATGGATGGGAGGGGGGACCCCATGCTGTCTTTAATTTTATTTTTTTTAATTGTCGGGCAATGCCCACAATTCTTTTTACATTCAGCTGTCAGCGGGGAACCGTACTGACAGCTGAAACATTAATGAATGATTCACAACTAAAATACCACATGACTTAATATAACTCATGCGGTATTTTGGTAACTGAGCGGTATCTTACCGCACAGTAAATTGTTTGTGTTCGAAGTTCACATTCAAACATTCTGTAGGTTTGAATGTTCGACCGCGAACCAAACAGGGGGGTGTTCGTCCCGTCACTACCAAGGATAATTTTTTGAACCCTAATACATTGCATGTCTTTTGAACTATGGCCAGGAGCCTTAGAAGGGCCAGAGAGGAGGGTTTTGCTTAAGCCTGCCCTCTTACTATAAAAGGGGAGCACAGAGCAGCAGTTCATTCATTTCAATGGCCAAAATAAATTGATATTCTAGCAATAAAATTGAATGAACACCCAAGTGCACCTGAACACATCGAAACATGCATAAACTCTTTTGAAAAACGTGACTTTAGACGCATTTTTAACACCACTTTTCTTCTGTAAGGAAAAAGGCATTCAGTGTGCATTAGTGTGCATGAGGCCTAAATGTTCCTCTGTAAGCTTTTTAAATACAATAGCTGTCTTTTATTGTAATTGGACACATAGACCTACTTTTCCTTTCATTCAAAATCTCTCAAACTCTGTGTTCAGTCTGGATGACTCATGGCAGCCCAGCCAAGGACTATAGAATCACAAAGAGATATAAGAAACCTAAACTGTCTGTAACAGATTACTGTCCCCCCAATACTACAATATCAATTTTGGGTAGGAGACTGACTCTTTACCCAGATAATATGTGTCAACAGAAAAGAGCACTGATTTGGTTAAGAGCAAAGCTCTAAAAGTCTTAATATGGGGTTCCCTATCAAGACAGGTTTGTTGTTTGTGTGTGATGTCATTATTAGTGGCTGATAAACACTTTGCACCCCAGTTCTATTGAACAGATCTCATTTCATTTACAGCCCATTGCAGTCATTAGTTCATCCCATTTCACATTTGAAAGGCATTTTTTCTGAACTGCTTCAGCACATCAAAGATTTTCTACTTCAATCAAATACAATTATGTCTGAGTTCCTAATTACGGTTCTTCAGCTTTGAGGCGCTGATAACATTTGAACTTCCCATTTACCCTGTAAAAATAACATTCAACCTTTTCAGCTGGCTCTTCATGATTTATCAAGGGCACCTGTGAAATAATTCTAAATCTATCTATCTATCTATCTATCTATCTATCTATCTATCTATCTATCTATCTATAAGACATCAGTCTATCAACAGGACATATCACGGTTACAAAGCTTCCTAGTTAAATATGTTTATCAATCTTTTATATGTAAAGTTTTAAAATTTGTAAGACTGGCCTTACATTATACAATTTTCTTGAGATTTTTGCTTTAGATTTACCAAAAAACATATAATATGAGGTCAAACCTAAACAACACTTTCAATTGTATCCAATTAGGCAGGCCCTTGCACCACATAGTTGAAGGTAAATCTAAAAGAAATTGGGCAGAAATTGGACAGAAAATTGTATAGTGTATGGCCAGCCTTAGTCTCAGTTATCCAGAGTGATGAAAAAATATGTTCCTGGTTACCTTTACAGAGAGCCATTTACTTTGACTAGAAAACCAACTGGACAATAAAAATCCTTGCTTTACCATTATTCTTGGCCAGCAAATAAGCAGTGCTAGAGCATTCTTCTTCCTTCTGCATGCTCCAATAAATCCAGAGCAATATGTGAAAGACCCATGAAAAAAAATGACTAAACCAATTTTCAGAATTATATTCTTAGCCTACATAGGTAAACATTCTTTCTTCTGAATGATTTCTATGTTCGTTGCCACCTTCTTCTGGGTCTTTTTTGCTTCTGATCATGCACTTTTTTTCTATTTAATTATTTCTGAAATTATCTAGCTTCAACTTTTGTTTTTTTTTGCATCCAAACAGTTGGAAACGGCTGTTGAAAGCACTATACTAACAGATAATTGACCGATCATTCTTCGTACAGAACTTTTTGTATGATTTTGTGTGTATGGAGTTAATAGGAGCCCTAAATCTGGCTATACACATATGTCCATAGTTAGTTACACTATATTGTTAGTACACCCCACCATATCATTGGATTCAGGTGTTCCAATCGCTTCCATGGCCACAGGTGTATAAAATCAAGAACGTAGGCATGCAGACGGCTTCTACAATTATTTGTGAAAGAATGGATCACTCTCAGGAGCTCAGTGAATTCAAGCGTGGTCCCGTGATAGGTTGCCACCTGTGCAATAAGTCTGTCCGTGAAATGTCCTTGCTACTAAATATTTCACAGTCAACTGTTAATGGTATTATGACAAAGTGGAAGCAACTGGGAATAACAGCAACTCAGCCACGAAGTGTTAGGCCACGTAAAATTACAGAGCTAGGTCAGCATATGCTGAAGCACCCAGTGCGCCAAGTCGTCAACTGTCTGTAGAGTCAATAGTAAAGACCTTCAAACTTCATGTGGCCTACAGATTAGCACAACAACAGTGTGTAGAGAGCTTCATGGAATGGGTTTCCATGGCTGAGCAGCTAAATGCAAGCCTTACATCACCAAGTGCAACGCAAAGCGCCGGATGCAGTGGTGTAAAGCACTCCATCACTGGATTCTAGAGCAGTGGAGACATGTTCTCTGGAGTGACAAAATACGCTTCTCCGTCTGGCAATCCGATGGACATGTCTGGGTTTGGCTGTTGCCAGGAGAACAGTAGTTGCCTGACTGCATTGTGCCAAGTGTAAAGTTTGGTGGGGGGGGGATTATGGTGTGGGGTTGTTTTTCAGGGGTTGGGCTTGGCCCCTTAGTTTCAGTGAGGGGAACTCTTAAGGCGTCAGCATACCAAGACATTTTGGACAATTTCATGGGAACAGTTTGGGGATGGCCCCTTCCTGTTTCATAATGACTGCACACCAGTGCACAAAGCAAGGTCCATAAAGACATGGATGAACTTGGGGTGAAGGAACTTGACTGGCCTGCACAGAGTTCTGACCTCATCCCGATAGAAAATCCTTGGAATGAATTAGAGCGGAGACTGCAAGCCAGGCCTTCTCGTCCAACATCAGTGTCTGGCTTCACAAATACGCTTCTGGAAGAATGGTCAAACATTCCCATAGACACCCTGCTTGTCCTTGCAGACAGCCTTCCTGGAAGAGTTGAAGCTGTTATAGCTGCAAAGGGTGGGACAACTCAATTTTGAATCCCATGGACAAAGATGAGTGGAATGCCATTAAAGTTCATGTGCATGTAAAGGCAGACACCCCAATACTTTTAACAATATAGTGTATATCCTATCTTTGTATTAGAACTAGAATGGTCAATAGATTCTCCCCCCCCCCCTCTTAAATCCAGCTCAAAAAATTTGTCAGGTTAGTTCTAAAAATTACCTAATTAGCACTCATAATCACCTAAAGGGCCCTTTAAATCTCAGTATTTTCATTTTGTGGATTATTGCCGTGCCTTCACATCACATTATTTTCAGCATTACCAGTTTATATGTAGCATTTTCTCTATCGCTTATGATAAAGTCATGGCTTGGTTATTTTATTGCTGACATCTCTCTAAACAAGCATGTCAAATCAAAATGAAATCATGGCATTTAATTCCATAAAATGCTCTCCAATTTAGCTACAAAGCAAGTTTTATTGGATTAATTAAGGCAACTATTAATTTTCCAAGTAAAAGTGGAATACTTTATGCATTGCATCTAAAAGTGCATAGCGCATTAAGTTGTCCCTCTGAAGTCATTACATGGGAACATCCTCGCTTTATGTCATCTGTTGCTGGTCAATAGTTTATTAATATTACAGTCTCATAGCAAATGCAAGGCTGGGTAAGCCTATTAAGCTGTCACAGAGGATTTACTCCCTTTAACGAATTATATTTTCTTGCAGAAACATGGGAATAAAATTAAACTGAACTGAATACAACCATTATTTACGGTCATTAACCACATTTATATTTTAACTTTGTTTTTATCTTTACAGTGATTCTGACACTTTTTTAGGCTGGCCATCTAAAGACTTTGGCCAGTGCCACATAGGTTGCTGTCAACTTGGGAGAGTACAAAACTCTGACATATTCTCACAATCCCTTAGTACAACAATTTCAAATGTGCATTAAAGTGTAAGTAAAGGCATTTTTGGATTGAATAAAGAAGAGTTAGATGCTATGTCAGGTTTTTTATTACTGTTTGTGTGCACGCTAGGGACAGGCACCTTCTAGATTTGTCCTGGGGATCACTGTCACTGAGACAGAAAGTAAGGATGTAAAGTTGAGATCAACTTTCTCTCACTTGCTTTCTCCTCCTATCAACATGCTTCTAGTCAGCATAGGAACTGACTCCTTGCACTGTTTCTTCCTCTCACACTCCAGCTCTCCTGTACATGGACTACAAGAGGCTGATTCCAGGTTCTAACACTGCCTTCATGTACACGGTATTTTATTGATTATAGAGCTGCATTAATTCGGGTTGTTAATGCAGCACCTTCCTAGATAGGTGCTTAGATACATTTAGTTATGGCTCACTGTGTTCAGAGGAGCTGTAGTTTGCTATTAGGTAAATTTAGTTTGACTTACAGTACTCAGTGTGGCTACATTTGATAGGTTAGGTGTGTTCTGTGTCTCACATGCTGCTGGTTTAAATGCTCTCTCTCTTTCTTTTCAGAACACTCTGGTTAGCTCTGGAATATAGCTGTGGAGTAATGGTAATGGGCAGCATGAATACTTATGCCATCCCAGCCAATCTTGGTGAAGCCATGCACAGGTGGCTGCTGGGAAAGGGTATGCAGAATTGTCTTGTCCTGGAGAGGGGATGTCCAGCCTAGATGGCATGCTGCCCTTTTGGGACGGCAGAATGAGCTTCTGCTTTTTGCTGCTCATCAAGGTCTCAGTACTGTTGGCCTGGGGACCCATCCTACAGTTACCTTGCTGCAGTTGACCAAAAGGATTTTTCTCCTTGGGGACCTAGCCTGGTATCACTGAAAAAGGAGTCCAGAAGATATTGGAAGGAGGCAGTAATTTATCCAGAGACTTAAATGAGTACAGACCCGTGAGAGAGATCCATGAGACTGTGTGCTGCTGCTATACCTCTTGCAATAAAGTCAACCTATGTCAGTTCTACCTAAAGGGAATGCTCTATTATACTGTTCCTGAAAAGCTCAGTTCAATATTTGCTGCAAGCAAGGAAATTATGCTCAAATTTCTAAAATGAAGACTAGTGTCCTCGAGTTTGTTGTTAGAAGTTACTGGAGTATCCTACAGTCACCCCCCTACCTATCCAAGTTCAAGAATCAATTAAAGCATTAACAAGGCATACCCCTAGACTGGTTAATAAGCCAGGAGAGTGACTGGAACAGTGTGTTTGGCAGCAGTGCAACTATAGGGGAAAGAACTCTGGGCAAATTTACAACCCCCCTTGCGGCAGTGAGAGCTACATTCATATTGCCCAGAGTTACATATTAATTACAACATGCATGATCAAATTTAGATGCTATTTGATATGTACCCATTAAAGAATATGTAAACCCAACATTTTATATTCCTGATAAGTACCAGCTGTACCATGCACTTGTATGAAAAAGTATCCTGTTTTCTTTGTATTGCTTGTGTGAAAGCCCTGTTGTTCCTGCCAGTCCCTCTGTTTTCCTATTAACAACTGGCATGGGAACACACTGTGGTCAGTTCTCTAGCTGGGCTGGGAACTCAGCCTACTCTCCTCCAAATTTTTAGACCTGTGCTAACACACACCTCCTTCATAGCCATTCACTGGGAAGATTAGTTTGCTGATGTTTCTCCTCCCCCAGCTCTTATGCAGATGAGAACGGAGAATGTGATCACTTATAAAGAGGGGGTAAAAAGGTATTTACAATGTTTTTATATGTATACATAAATGTTTTGCCTTTCATTTCTATAACTGAACGGGTTGCTTTACAAGGTGAGGGTTTACAATCACTTTATGCTTAATGTAGCCAATACTGTTAATTACCCAAAAAATTATATAGGAATTGTGGTCATGTGTTGTGCACAGAAAGTCGTGGAATTTTCTTTTTAATGCACCAGCACTAAACCTTATTTGTTATACAGCAGCAAGAAAACACACAGATGTGCACGTTCCCAAAATCTAGTCCATAGGCTTTATGCTTGCCCAAGTGTATTATCAGATTTACTGCTTTTCGTTTTATATAAGCATAGTACAGAATATCAATGAGAATCAATCATGACATGACAATGCTTTGTCTTCTAGAAGGCATCGTTAAATATGTAAATTCCATCAAGGCCAGAGAGAATAGCTTTCATCAGTGTGATTCTTGTCAGTTCTGTTCATTGTACGAAAGTCATAAAAGTAGTTTTTTGTTTTCCCAGCCGAATGTCTCCCTTTGAATCTCACCAGCCATAAGTATATTTGACCGCCTGCATCTGGACTGTAGTGCTGAAACATCATCAACATCTTGATGATTAATGTTCTATCAAAACATGCGGTGTACTTTTTTTTTCATCATTGTCTTGAAATAGTCTCCATCTTTAAGACTTTGGTATCCTGCGGATTGAACAGTTGGAGGAAAGGACTAATTAAAAGTTAACAATCCAAAGAATGATGGAGATCAAACGCGGTTATCTTTACAAACAAATATAATGCAACCCATTATTAGCTATCCAAGAACATCCAAGAGATGTTTGATCACAATTTTTAGCTAGCAGACAAGTGCTTGAGTCTGCTCTGATGTGCACATCAAATTTCAATTTGTAGCACTTTGGATGTACTGGAGTACAGACATTGTCACCAATTTTACTTCTGTCAGGGCTTAGGCAGATTGTTCTGTTCTACCAACAAAATTAAATTATTATAGAGTTGGTAGGAATAAAAGACGGCTCAGATCTAATAGTTGTGTCAAAACCAAAGAAAGACAAAAAAGCAATTTCCTCTCTTCTCTGAGAGGCTAAACAAAATTTTATATTTGCTGACTCCAAAGCGAAAGTCTAATTTATTCCACAATCAACTGTCAGTAAGCATGTTCACAATAATAGAAACAACATAGCGTGTTCCTTACTTTTCAGAGGTTCAACAAGACCTCCAAGATAATTTGGGTAAATTTGTTTTATGCATTTTTTAGCAGTAGAGATCTATGCAGCTGTATTTAGAGTGGCCCTGTTGTGCCTTGAAACTTTCAGAAACAATGGTTGCTGAAAATAAGAGGATTACTTACCTTTTCTGCTGTCCACTTGCCACAACCTTACTCCACTGAGCAGTAATCATTCCATAAAATCTGATGGGAGATCAACAGATCAGGGAGAGTCAATCTCATTGGTCCCCACAGATCTCACTGCTTTCTTCTGCTGACCTCAACTCATTACAGGATATTTTAGGCATAGGTCAGAAGGAGGGATCAGTTAGAGCTGATTCAAAAGGGGGTCAGGATATTGATACAGCTGAAATACGAGGTTGATCTGTGTTACCTGTCTTAAGGATTAGTAAATCTGTCCAACCTAATTGTCCTAAACATTACCCAACCATGTACCTGGGGAGATTCATCT